CTGCTGGCACCAGAGACAAGGGAAGGTGTGGAAACCTCAGTCTCCAGGAGCCACAACCTGCTGCCTCCCTCATCACTCAATGTACGCCCTGTGCACCTCTCTGCCTGCAGCACAGTGCAGGTCTAGCCCAGGCAGGGAGCAGAGAGCCACCCATCACCACTGCCTTGTCTGGGGGTGCAGGCTGGCAAAGTACACAGCAGGGGCTCAGGTCCTCTGCCTTGACTCAGAGCCAGAAGACCCTCAGTCCAGTCCCAATGCGCTGAAAGAAAACATAATGTGGGATAAATGTTCATTTACGCTTTTGCAGGAGATGGGGATATAGGTTTGTGATAAAACACACAGCACAGAGCTGGTGGTGCTTTCTGAATGAAAGCTAGACACTTCCTGGTGTGCGCAGGCAAGGCTCCTTTGAAAAACAAAAGCCACCATTAAAATCAGTGAGCAGGCTCTCAGATAGAGAAGGACAGAAAGCATAATTGCTTCCCCAAGTAGTCAGTATCAGGTTTTCTGGCAAACACTCCATACAAAACCCTTGCTGTTATACTCTTAGTTCCTGAAGTAGCATTTCTTAACTCACTTTGTTTTCAAGGTGTTTTCCAAACTAAGGAGCATCACTTCTGCAGATCCTGTTGTCCAATTTAATAACAGCTTTTGAACAGTTGCCAGGTTATTTTGCTTGAAATGGCTTGTAAGGGCTGCCTGCTGAAAAGTCAGAAGGTCGATGTTCTGCATGTGGATTTTGTTACTTATGTCAAAGATAAGGAGAAAGGAGGCAGAGGAAGGAGGAAGAAAAGTCTTCTGGCCATATCACTGTTGGAAGCAGAGGCAGAAGCAAGCCCTTTTTAGCCCTTTTGACTTGCTTACAGAATGACTGCACTGACAGGGAAGGGTGAAGGCCTCTCAGACTACCTTATATTGACCCCAGAAACAGGAAGTATGGCCAAAGAACTGGTCTTTTGTTTTTTAAAATACCCTTTTCCTGTTTTTAATTAAGTCTTGCAGAACTCCAGAGATGACAACTCCTGCTCTTCCCTTAGCCCAAAAACTTGCTATCTTGGTAATACAAGGAAAGTAGCTTGGTTTGTCAGTTTATTCTTGACAGATACACACTGGGTGTCACTCATCCCTGCATTTTCTTCTTTTATCATTGAACTTGCATCTAAAGACAAGAATCTTGTCAGGGCTCTCTCTGACCATCTGCAAACAATCCAGCCTGTTGACTACCATACAAGCAGAAAACCTTCTTTGGGATTGCACTTGCCTCCCTTTTGATGTGCAATAAATGAGTTGTCTCCTTATTCATCGCAAGAGAGCTACATGTAAACAAGTGAAAAGACAGAGACGTGATGAGAAAGCTGGTCAAATGCACTTGAAGCAAACAGTGTGTGGCCTCCTCTGTCATGGGCTGGGTGCTGCAGCCTCTGATGAATGCCACTTCCTTGTGGCCTAGGAAAAAGTATGTTTTATAATAACACAGCATTCTAGTGTGGCTTGTTACTTGTCATCTCTGAGGATTACAAGGTTATGGACAACAGCTATTTCAGGCTCCCATATAGTGAGGGATGACCTGCAAAAGTAAAGTATGAAGGCTCTCGTGAAAGGGAGGTGCAAGGACATGTAAGGTGCAGGGCCTGACAGCTGCACTGGGTTTGGGGAGATGGTGCTAAAAGATCCCACCTGGCTGAGGGTTCCACCTTCTCCAATCACCTCTACACTCCTGCTGAAGCTTCACAGTCTTTCTAAGCAGCCTGCATAGATCAGACAGCTGTCATCAAACACAGAGACTCACTCTGGAGCATGTTTTAATTCAGCCCGAAGGCTTACACACAAGAGAGAAACATCACAGACTGCAGAACCCAACCATAGATTGACACTTGATTCTGCAAAGAGGAAAGTCTCCTTCCCTCTCCTAAGCACTGCGGGGGTAACAGAATATTATGTAGAAGAGAGAAGTTCTGGAAATCAAGATTAAACAAGAAACCACCACAAGACACTGGAGCAAAAGTTATCTATTTTATTACAAAACCAAAACCAAACAGATGCCTTTCAGTTTAACAAATGATGCCATAGGCAAAAATGTGCTGGGGTAGGGTAAGTTCAATATAAACTCAAGCCATGGAAAGCAGTGCCTTCACACATATGAATCCCACCATAATGCAGTTTCCTCCAACATACTATGCCCTTGGGGGATCACCAAAAAAGGAAAGATTTTTTTCTTTTGGCAGGAGGAACAGATGACTTGCACTGTGGGGTCCTGGTTCTCTTCTCTGCTGTTTTCAACTGTCATTCAAAGTAGTGCTGGAGAGGCCCAGGAAGACTTGAAAGATGAGGAGACACATGCACAGTGTCTACTTCCAGACACAATACTGACACTCCCCATGTCCCAGCTTCAGTAAAATGCTACTGATGCAAGGCAGAGCAGAAGAATGCTTACCACCACCAGATAAGGACACATTTGGCCTGGCAGCCACATGGACTGGCCAGCTTTTTGGCAATGAAAGCAACAAGGGAAGCAGGCAGCTGAAGATCTTCTGATGAGTACAGTGTTTGGACAGCTTATAGCATGGGTTGTATTAATCAAGACCAGTACTGTCTGCATGATCCTCCAACACAAAACCAGAACAAGTAACCTAACATCTACTTGGACATCACACAATCATGCTTTTTGGGTCTTCCATGGCAGTGTACAAGTATTACCAGAAGCTGCTCAGAGATCCACACAAATCAGGATGCGGGGACTTGGACTTGTCTTGTAAAAGGGGACCAATATAATGCTTGGTCCCCAATCCATCCATAAAGTCAGCTCTAGCATAGCAACATGAACACCCACTAATGCCAAAGCTAATCAACAGCCACCCCTTGTCTGGCTTCCTTGAAGAACTGACCCAATTTTAATTGCAAACTTTATGTGAATGCAGGCCTCTTGGAGGGGAAGGACACAAGGATGAGAAAAAGGAAGTCAGCAGAAGAATTTATGTGACAGGTAGGAGTCTTGGTTGGGTGATTTATTTACATTTCCAGAAGAAAAGATGCAGTGAGTTTTAGCAGCTCTGTAGTCCCCCCACAATCCTGTGGGGCATTGCCCAGCCCCAGTGCCTGGCTGACAAAACTCCTATAGGCATCCAAGTGGTTGCTTCTGCTGATGCAACTATACATTAAAAAACAAACACACAAACAAACCAAAAAAAAACCCCACGCCTCCAAAAGACCCCAAAAACCCAAACCACCAAACACCAACCAACCCAGCAGCCAGATCTTTAAATTCCTAAAACTAGCATATTTAAAAGGAGAGGGTTTTTTTATACATTGGATTCATTCTTTACTCCTACAATAGAATTAGTGAGTGTGACAAGGACATTTCTAACTATACACTAAACCAAATTATTTCAACACACAAAAGATATGCCCTGGGCATTTAAAAAATAAAAGGAAGGAAAAAAAAAAGGGAAGAAGCAATCAAGAAGGTGGGAGCTTGCAGACCAGAAAAGCACATACATTGTATGTGAGAAACCATGAATATCCAGCAGCAGGATCTGCTCTTGCTAGAGAGACATCATCTTTATATTATGGTGGTGTGATGTATATTTCAGAGATTACCAGAGGTGTTTTCAACCAAGCTACATGTTTTAATTAGCTCCAATCTACTTCCCAGAAGTTATTACTACACTTAAACAGTTACTTACAGAACTGCCTTTGGCTTTTTTTTTTTTTTTTGTAACTTTCCATTTTGCCAACAATCACTAACTTACTGCATCAGGACACTTTTTTTTGTAATGTATTTATCTAATAATATTCTCATGATGACATGACACAGAGTGAAGATGCTTTGTTGTAACATCTTTTACCAAAGCAACAGGGATATAGACTCAAAGAATGACTCCAGTCTCTACAGTAACCCAGTGCTGTTGCAAGCAATTGTTGGTGTGATCTCATTAGCATGGCATATCATCACCTCTGACTACAGTTTCTTCTAACAGAGACAAGTGGCATAAGGGTCACCAGGTCTGAAGTGGGAGGCTGCTCAGAACAGGTGAGTGCTGCCAGTGGTTGGAAATACATAAAGCAAAACACTGTCCCATCACATTCTGCCCAAACCTAGGACTGCTGATATGGGTGCCCCTGCAAAAGAAACAACTTTGGTAAAACTTCTCGTTGTTGAAAAAGCCCCTGTGGCCTCCAAGAACACCAGACTCTTCAACTCCAAGCCTTCACTGTTATTGTTCATCAAACTCCAGTGTCATCTAACACAGCTAACACTGGTAACAGCAAATTAGGAAGAGTGGATACTCTAAGCTAGGCAGGCACACCACTGTGCAGGAGGGAAGCTTGGATTCACAATCATCAAGGACAAAAATAGTCATTTCTGACAGACCAGTGAGCACAGCCCAAGCTGTAGTGTTGAAACATAAGTAAAGCAGACACTTGGGGACCAGCAGCATGATTGTGTCTTTCTGCATTGACAGCTATGTTCTTTGCTCTTCAGGCAAGCAACAGGCAGGCTAAGCTGCTTTTAGCAGGATTCTTAGTATTTTTATTCTTGTATGACATATAGATGAACACTTCGTCAGAGAGGAGGATGTACAGCTTCCTTCCAATGACTGCTAGACCTACAGCTCCCACATCATTCCTACAGCATTAGATTCCAGAGGCATGGCACATCTTTCTTAAGTATAGCACCTGAGCCTGGATAGCAATGCAATTGTAATTCATTTCTGTCCAACTTGCAACAGGTGCAGAAACTACTTTTATATGTCCTTAATACAACCTTTTTCTATCCCTACTTTAGGCAGCTTTGCAGTGCACCAATATTTACATGAAATCTGTGCTCTCAAAAGCCCAATTGCCTGTGAGTTGCACAGGCTTTACAGTAAGAAAGGGGGTTCAGATGCTCTCAAGAAGCATTTGGTATCTGGCACACTGTGTGCACATCTGCAAGAACAAGTCGTGTTGATACACTGGCTCCTTTCCGCATGGGGGTGTTAAGGTTTGCCACTGAATGATGGTTTGGTGGCAGAAATAAATGCATTACTGTAATCCAGTGAAGGCAAACTGTCTCTCTAGCCGTAACAGCCTTCAAAAGCAAAGGGAGGAATAGAACAGTGACTCCAACCCTGTACAAGACAACTGTACAATTTACATATATATTTATATACAGTATATAAAAGTCTTTGAGTCCCAGTGAACTCAATTTTACATCATCAGTAGCTGTTCCAATTTTAAAAAGTCATGATCCTGCTTCTCTCCACTCTCCAAAGTATTAGATTATGGCATTGAAAAGCAATTAAAACCAAACCCAAACCAATTATTAAAAAGTGCAAAAATTCTGGGTGCCACTTCTGCTACGGTGGATGTTGCTGATGCTGCATGCTTGCTCACAAGCAGCAAGGTGTCTGTCCATCTGTCACTGGATCTTTCCTTCCTTTGGGTCAGCTCCTGCCTTCCCTTCCCGTCTTCTGCTGCTACACCAGGCGACCTACTGAAAGGGTGGGGTGGGCAAGGAGGAAAAAGACAAACAGAACAGAAACAGGACAAGTGAGGAAAAAAGGCAAATTAAAACGAAAAGACACCTGACTGATAAAGATACAGAATAGCTTCTGCTGAAGCCATGGCCCTAGAAGGCTGAGATCCCAGAGTAAGCTGTGAGGCTGAAAACAACTAGGGGCTAATGAGACAGCCTTGCTGAAAAAAACACTGAATGATTCACACTGAGCCTTAAGGACTGCCATATTTTTAAACATAACCCACCACTTTCCTCCCCCTCCTTGGAAATGGGCATGCAGCTAGGGAAACGACTGGTCTCCCTCTGCTCTGCTCCCTCTGCCTGCCACAGCTGATGCAGAAGCCCACTGCTGCCAGGCTGCCCTGCCACCATCTCCCTAAACGGCCACAGCCAGCTGTCTCCTCCCCTAGAAGACAAGCAGGTCTCGAAGGAGGCCTTTCTTCAGAAAGCTTTTGTTAAGTCCCTCATCAAAGATTCTTAAAGAATCAAAGCTCTTACAGGATCAGAGCAAGAGCTCTGTGGATTAATTACAGGTGAAAACACACTATAGAGAAAGCAAAAGTATGGACTTGATTTTCAGAAATTAGAAGGGTTACATCACTGGGAAAAAAGGCCTCACTGGGATCAACATGCCCTGCCACAGGGGGCAAATACTGTCAAATGCAAAATTACTCCAGATAGTCATATTTGAAATTGACTGCACAGCTCTGCAAACAGCAATTGCAGCGCTCAGTGAGCAGCTCATAAAAACAGTAGATTATCTTCAATGTCCATAAATGCAATGCAGAGTGTGAGTGGGGATGACTTGTCCTACACTGAGCGCTCTGAGTGACTAGGAAAGAGTCTGAAGCCACAGTACGCACTTGCTTGAATGCCTCTGCTCAGCTTTTAGCAGCAGACAAAAATCAGATACATGCTCAGAACTGAGGACACACCAAGAAACATGACTACATCAGTGTATAAGGTTTAGTCGATCTTTATCTTCAGTTCTCCATTCAGCCCATCTCAACCAGGACCACATACGGTCCCCAGAAAGGTAAGGAGGACAGCAAGAGGTATGGGAAGACTTCTGTCCTTAAGCAAATACATAGCCTAGGTCTTTTCAACACAGAAAGGAGCCTAACCAGATATATGTTGGATGGCTATAGAACAAGTGGGGGAGTAGGCAGGGGAGAACTGTTCACTGCTTCTTACAGTCCAAAATGAGAAGCACACAATGAAACCATGAGGCAGCAAGTCTAAAAGCAAAGCAAATAATGTTGTTCATGCCTGACAAAAGGGTGCAATTTGCTGCCAGAAAATACAGAAGAAAGCAGATCTGCACCATGAAGAGTATAGTGTCTTCATGGAAACTTGTCCATGGAGTAATATAATGTAAACACAACAAATCATCTAAATTATTGCTTGCTAGAAGGGAGAATAGAAGAGGAGAGTATTCATCCCATAGCTGCTGTATCCTATCTAATTCTTCAGCAATGTACTGTCTGCTCCAGCTAAAGACACAGAGCTGGACTTGGAGATGATGCAGCGGAGCTGCATGTTGGTATATTCACACCTCTTACAAACAACTTTGGTTTCCATCTGTTTCTATATTGCTGTTTGTGAACATGGGAGAGCAGGGGAAAATTAATTCTGAAATACATGGGTATCACAGAAAAAAAGGAACCATTTTGACAAGATACTCACTGAAAGGGTTAAGGCCTTGTCTTTTTCCATTGGGCAAACTGCTCAGGCTACCTGTAAAATCCAAGAACCACATTAAAGGCAATAAATGCTGTGGCATGACAAAGGGGGCTCCTTGTTGTCTGTTGCCAGAGGGCAGGTTCAAAGGAGCCCCTCTGAGCATGCTCACAGCAAGTCCTGCCAACACTCTCTTAAGATTCACATGCAAGAGTTTGACTAATATGCTTGAGACGACAGATGTTAAATACCTGGTGTTGTAGTAGCTGAATGTCATGAAATCCAGAGGTTTGGTGGGGCAAGAAACAACAATTACAAAGTTAAACTGAACTGTGGAGGGAGAAAGAAGAAAGGAAGGATACAAGTACTGTCATGAGGTTTCCCCAAGCAAGCAAAATAATGCCATGTAGAAAGAGGGCAGTCAGAAATAGCGAAGGTGCAGGCAATACAGATAGCCCAAGTTTATTAAATCTTTCACTTGAACCAAACAATCAAACAGGTGCCTAAAATCAAAGACCTGAACTCATAACTGGCGGAAAGGCAGAACTGTGATTGTGTTATGAGATAACAGGCACACGCACCCTATACCAGCTGGAGCTAATGGCAAGGGCCTCTTACCTCAACGATAAACCTGTTCCTACCATGTGTTGAGTACAGAGAGCTCAGGGATTACAGGAGGTCTCAAAAGCATGTCACGTTTCCTCCTAGCTGCTTGGTCTGATTTCAGAGAGGGATTAGCTGAAAATGGGAACTCCAGCTCCCAGCCAGCAGCAGTAAGCCTATTGCCACCCTCCACTCTGCCCAGCTGAAGACTTTGATTTGTGCATGCACATGAGTTGACTGCACAACTTGCTCTGCACATTCAGGTACTCTGCATGCCAGCAGCCACAGCACACTTTGCTCTGTGGAGAGAGGAGGTGGGCAGAAGTTCAGAGGGCAGGGTGAGGTGGGGGAAGCCCCGGGGGTGAGGAGGCTGGGCTGCAGGATGGAACAGAGCTGCTGGGAAGGACAAGAGAGGGGGAGAGAAAGCTGGTGCTGGCCAAGATTGAAATGGGTCACAAAGCACAGCCTCTTGGCTTCAGAGAGCATTAATACGAGAAACTGTGTAAGCACACTAAGTTATTCAAAGGCCTCCGAACAGCAGTCTGGTACCAGCCACCTGCCCTGGCATGATCAGCGGAACCACAACTCGATGATACCTGTGCCCAGGTGCCCACGTGCGCATAAAACACCAGAGGCTCCACTGCCGGGGCAGAGGCTCATCCCGGGCTGACCAGCACTCACAGCCTGGGGATGGCAACTACAAGTTGGGCCCTTTACAGGCTGCCGCCAGGGCCCTGGAAGACGCTGCCAGGCCACGCATCGCCATCCCGCCCAGCAGCCTGGGTAAGCCAGAGGGCATCCCAAAGAACCCTCACCTCCCTTCAGCACCCAGAGCAGGTAAGCCTACAGCACGGTGTTGGGAACGAGCACTATCTGACTTCAGAAAGAGGTGAATGAGCACTATCTTTGGAAAGAGGCGGGAGCTCCAGGTCGGTGTGTGCAGAAGGCAGGAGGATCCCTCGGAGTGGAGCACGACCCCGTGCACCTCCATGGGGAGGCCACACTGAGGCACTCAGAGAGCATCGCCTTCAGCCAACTGCCTGCCATATAAAGCCAGGCCAGCCATGTATACCTACGGAAGGCAAAACCCTGCCACAACTACGCTGCACGAGGAAGGAATACGGCAGGTGGCGACAGTGGGTTACTAATAGATACTTGGGAAGCCCTTGGGCATTACAAAGTAACATCCCATCACTCGTCAAGTTTCATAATGGAGAGTATTTGCTCAGCCTCACAAGTACACTGTTTTGAGAAACAATTCTAGCCACACTGGTTTAGGCCAGGTGTCTTTCAAAAGAAAAAGCTCCAAGGAAACTCCAGCAGCTTTTTACATGAAGAAATGATTCCTCAGACTTACTGAGCAAATCTCTCACCTTTTGGAGAGAGAACCTTGCCACCACCAGCTTTGTATTCTCAATACATTACTGATGTCCTGATTCATCACTAACTTTTGTTAAGATTAAAGGCAAACTACAGCACCGCTACAAAGCTCCAAAGGGGGATATCCAAACAAGAAAAATAAAACCAGGCACTGAACCAGTGGAGCTCCTTTGCATTCTAATCTAATTGTAACTAGATGCACTTTAAATTTCCTTTTTAATTCGGTCATTACCTAGTTATAGTTTTCTCATGGCTGCTCAGACTGTTGTTTTCTACCATCATTGGTCCAGAGGCATTTCCTAGGTGACTGCTCTTTCCTACCTTCTCCCACACAGCTGCTTGCACAGTAGTGATATAGAGTGACATCAGTCCCAGCCTCCCAAGCATACAGAGAATCAATTACTTCTGAAGATACCAATAAGAAAGGTCCCAAGCATCATTGAATGAAATCTGCTGTTCAGATTGCCTGTTACTTTTCCTTCTTTCTGTAATATTTCCTCAGATCCAGTAGAAAGTGACATGCTGTTTAATTACACACACACACTTTTAATGAAGATATTTAGATCCTGTTTCTGGACTGCAGTCTTGGTGGCTGGGTTCCACCTCAGAAGTCCTCATGGCCTGTGAAGCACGCCCAACACCTACCATCTGACAAGCTCTTGGACAGCAAAGCAATCACGGGATCTGAGCTGGCAGAAGGGAACTTCCCATCAGCTGGCAGAGGGATATTTCTTCCCTGCCTATTCCCTTAGCTCCTCTTTAGGCAGGCACAAAATGCTGACTTGTTCTTCTGAATTTGGAAGAACACAGAGGCAAAACTCAACTCCAGCATTTTGCAGCCAGCACAACTAGCATAAGCCTTACTCAGATGTACAGCCCTCCTCTCCAACATGACTGGACTCCAATTTATCTCGGGTCCAGTAACTTTCCAGCAAAGCTTTGCAGTGTGTGTCTATCTCCTCTGAAGGACCCTGCCTTTTGACTAATGCAGAGAGCTAAATTTGTTCTTTGATCACAGATGGTTCCTCCCTTAACTCAGGCTGTGCAGACTGCACTGAAGAATGCTAACTTTTAACAGTCTGTTTTCCTTCCACAATTCCTCAAACAGACAATCCTAGATCTAATGATGGTAAAGACCGTTTCTGGCATACTCGAAGCTAAAAGCCCTCCCTGCCTGTTCTGCCCCAGTTTAAGAAACTATTTGCAGGCTTCTGCAGACCCTCAAAGGCTGACTCTATGTGGTTGCTCCATTCTGAGATTTAGAAATGGCATTTTTCCATGAGAATGGCCCTTGACAGAAACAAGACAGGTTTAAACAGAGGGACAAGAGCTGTGCAAAGTGGCAACCAGACCTAGCAGATTTTCCAGCAGCTTTCTAGATCACCATAAGGATGGAATATGAAGGGTTTCTGACAGACTGGACAACTACTTTCCTCACTGAAGAACCACTGGCTGGTAGTACCCACATATTAAGTTACCACAGGCATTAAGAACCTGTTGAAGAAGGGAAGAGAGAACTACTCACCTCGCACAGATTTGATCCTAAGCTGGAAAGAGCTCAGATTCAGGTTTGTCCTTATGAATACCCCAGCTGAATCCTCACACATAAATCTTATTTATTTAGACTCTTTAGTCCCTGAGAGGTGTATAAAAGTAGTGATTTATCTATGCCCTATGCTTCCTTTAAGCAACACTATTTCCACATTTGGATGGAATTGGCCACAAAAAAATGGTGAAACACTGACAAAAATGCATAACACTTAATATCTCTATTCCTCAGCATCCCAAATGCTACAAAATTTGTATTATGTTTTATTTTCAAAATCATTATAAGTGCTCAATTTGCCGAGCAGGAGGCATACTCACCTGGAATGATGACCCACTTAATTTTAGTCCTTATGCTACTGAATACCCAACCACAATTTGGAACATCTGAGCTAAGTTCATTTGTAATGATGTATATCAAGGGGAAATTATGACTTTCCTTGCCTCCTTCCAACCCTTCCTCATCCAACAGGTCTGCATCCTTCTTGTCCTGGAGACTCCAAACCTGGATGCAGTACTCCAGGTGGAGTCTCACCAGAGCAGAGTGGAAGAGCAGAATTCCCTCCGTCACCCTGCTGGCCACGCTGCTTTTGATGCAGCCCAGGACACGATTGGCTTTCTGGGCTGCAAGTGCAGATTGACAGCTCATGTCCAGCCTCTCATCCACCAGCACTCCCAAGTCTTCTCGACAGGGCTGCTCTCCATCTGTTCATCTCCCAGCCTGTACTGATACTGGGGGTTGCCCTGACCCAGGTGCAGCACCTTGCACTTGGTCTTATTAAACCTTGTGAGATTCCCATGGGCCCACTTCTTGATGCCATCCTGTTCTTAGGTGTGTCAACCACACCACTCATCTTGGTGTTGTCTGCAAATCTGCTGAGGGTGCACTTGATCCCTTTGTCTGTGTCACTAACGAAGATATTAAATAACACTGGTCCCAATACAGACCCTTGAGCAACACCACTGGTCACTGATGCCCATCAGACTCTGACCCGTTGACCACTACCCTCTGGATGTGACCATGCAACCAATTCCTTATCCACCAAACAGTCCACCCATCAAATCCACTTCTCTCCAATTTAGAGAGAAGGATTTGTGGGAGACCATGTCAAAGATGCCGACTGTTTCTAAATTTAGAAGTTCTTATGAATGGAAAGCATAGAAAACTTCATGATTTCTTAAAAAAGATCCATCACAAACATGCTTACTGAACCTCTAGAGCATTTCCCTCAGTTCTTTCCTACACAGTAGTACCTGCTCCCTGCACTGCCCCCTCCACTGCTTTTTAGTCCTCATCGTCCTTTAACTTACCCATTTATCTTTGATCCTCAAGGCTTATCAGGCCTGTAGAAGGTATGTGGAGCTGTATGACAAAACAAGATCAGAGCCCCTTTCTGACCACAGTCCTGTCCTCATACAACAGAAGAAAACATGAAAGGTCAAAGCTGCGTTCCTAACAAACAGTTGGACAATTAGGCACTCACAATGTCTCTCTGCTTTCTTTCCCCTTAATATGGGCTCAAAGTTTCACATTTTCTTTCTTCTCTACATTTGATTTTTCCCCCTTCCATAAACTAAATTTTGAACAGTTAGTTGGCCAAGGCAGCAGATTCCAGAGAGTCTTATTCCAGGCCAAATAGCAATAAAACTCATTTGGCATATCCATCTTATTGGGAAGGTAATAAAATTAAGGATTGCTATTTTGGTATGTCATTCCTCAGTAAGGTACTTATGACTATAAAAAAACTTCCACTGGGCTACGGAAGCTGAATGCTTCTTACAGCTGACAAGTAATGCAACATGCCTATTATGGTAACTAAGATGTTTATAAAGCACCTAGAAAATGCAACTTCCCAACACCAAAATGTACTGACTCCCTTCCCACTTGTGCTAAACCTGAGAAAAGACCTAAGGAAATGTTAAGATGGGACAAAGAAAGCTACCCACCCTTCCCAACTAGCATGACAGTTATAACAAGAGCTGTCTGCACAGACAAAACACCTGCACAGGATATTAGTCCCCTGGAATCTCCCTGTTTGCCTTCTCCTGCCAAGTAAGTCTGCCCACAGTCAAGAATGACTGATAATTATTGAATTTGGGTTGAACAGTTTCAATTCATAAAATTTCCAAAAATACCCATTTGGTTCAGGTCCCAACAGATGATGAGGTGAAGATGAAAAAGCAAGAAAAGGCAGGAGGGTGGGTTGATTGCTCAGGCACTAAACAGAAAGGAAAATAGATTGTTCACATGCCTTATTTCTCCCCCAATCTTGAAGTACAATTTAACTCTGAAAAAGGAAAACAGTATATCCCTGTGCTTTCTTTCTAAGTTGTTCTCTCCCCATCATCCACTTTCCTGCATGCTGAATTTAGCAATGAAAGTAAGTATTATATCTGTTAGTCAACAGACTCTCCAGAGAAGGCTGGGTCTATGCTGACTCATACATCATCCAACCTTCATGGCTGAGACAACCCAATACTGTTAGCAGGGTATTACTCAGAAGGGTCTTGATCTGATCTGAACTACAGTTTCCAAGGACTTCTACAGTACAAAGCAGAGTTCTGGTCAAGGCTCATCTGTTGCCCTGTTTCTGTATAGTCTTAGCACAAAGGTCTGTGATAAGGGGTATAAGATGGAGTAATAACACAAATAATGAACTACATTTGCATGGCAAGGTATTAATCCCAGTCATTTTCTCACACAAACTGTGGCACTTTTGAAACAGCTGGGAGAAAACAGATTCCTGAGTTTGTCATAACTCCGTGTCAGTTTTTATTGTCATGCAATGGGGAAGAAAAGGCACTCACCTCCTTCCTTGCTGACTCCCAAACACCCTTTCAGTTCCTGAAGCGAGATCGACTTGTCCTTGTTGAGATCACAGTAGTCAGTGAAACGTCGGGCACATTTCTTGGGCTTGGCTTTCTTCTTTACATAACGTTTGAAAGGCTTTAGCTCCCGCTTGTTGATATCATCACTGCTGTTGTTGTCCAGCTGGCTGAAATACCAGTGTACCACTCGCTCCTCTAGTGTGTGGCTGGGGTCTGGCTCAGAGAACCTGGAACAGAGGAAGCACAGGCCCCCGAAAAATGGGTGCTCTCACCAACACTGTCAAGCATATGCTGAGGAGCAAGAGCTGCTCATCAAATCCGGCAAGTGTTATGCCATATTTAAAGAAGGCAAAAAACACAGGTCTTCCAACCTCCTCCTTTTAGCTGGGCTCTATTGAGAGAGAGAAACTTTTTCTGAAAAAGTCCTTTAGCATTAACAAGTGATGCCAAGAGAATCTTGGACTCTGATACCCTCAGTAGCTCTGGTTCTCCTCACACCAGTTGCTGAAACTCTGTCTAAACCTGGAACAATACCCTTTAGAGGGTAAGAAGCAATATCCTTGGTCCTTCTGACCCTTGGGTTCCCATTCAAGTTACCAGCAGGAGAGCCATGAGTGTCAGCTGTCATGATAGTTTTTGTGACAGCGACATCTAGACTTCAGAAAGGGGACAAATTAATTTAATGCAAGAGACATTCGTTATTTGGAAATGTCCTTGGCAAGATACAACATCTCCCTGTATCTGTACTCCTGTGCTGTATTTTCAGCCTTTTTAATGCTTTTCACGTGGCTGATTTACACATAAGAGTTCCACAGCAGACAAACACCACAAATCCATTAAAGGCAACACTACAGATTTGGCAACTTCAGTTTGCTTCACTTCTTACTCATTGTGATATTACAAGCTTGATGCTGTTTGACTTATTTTATTTCTATGCAAAACAACAATATCAGAGAGGAAGAGAAGAAAAAGAGGAGGAACAGCAACAGCTATAGATGCACAAATGGAGAACACTGACTTTCAACATCAAGCCATCACTGAATAGGCACCGTTATGTCTAGTGCTCTGCAGCAGCAGTAGGAAAGGGGTTTTTCCTCAGTGATACTGAGAACCAGGGAAGAAACTCTTTCTAAGCTAGCCTGTCTTTTCTCCATATGATGAGCATGCCAACAGAGAAAGCTGAAAAGATGCTGAAATGAGGCTTGAGACTTAAGCCTTTTTGCTTCCAAGAATAAAGCATTTCAGTGCATGGAAATTAGTGGATAGGTAGTCAGACATGGTACACTGGCACTGGTTGCTCTGACTTGTTCCAGGAGACATACCCAGCTGCTGCCTAAATTCCTTCCCCAGGAAGGAAAGAGGAACAGTTTCATGCTGCAGGCAGCCAGATTCTCTGTGTGAATTTGGAGTATTCTAGCTGATGGGGAAATACAAACCCCAGCACCTTATAAAATGTACTCTAAGACTGTCACCAACCTTGTTTCAGAAACTAGTAGGATCTATATTTAAATGGTCACTAAAAAATTATTTGTTGGTAACTAGAAGGGAGAAAATTCTTTTCACTTTCTGGTATGACCAGTTTTGCCTTTAAAACACATCTACAGAGCCTGAAAAGTAACCCCCCCACCCTCCCACCATGGTAGATTAAATCATTAGTGATGAGGAATCTAGAACATGCAGAAAGCAAGAACTGGCACTTAGATGGAGAACAGAGATCCTAATTAACTTTCTCTGATAGCTTCTACAAATTACCTTAGAATATAGAAAGATGGCCCCTATCCAGAAATCCATGAATCCTTACAACATGTAAACACTCACAGAAGGGAGAGGCAAATAAGCTGCACAACAATTTTCCCAAGGTTTTCCTTGAAGCTATCTCTATCATTTAATTCTTAGCTGAGAGGCAGGTTGGCAGTCACAGAAGCTGGTCAGTGAACAGCAGAATAAACACTGTGCAGGAGAAAGAACAGGTTAGGAATAAGTCTGGGGTTTTTTTTCTAGCCAAAATACCAGGCAAGCCCATAGATTCACCTGTGGACAAGCAGAAATTACAAAAATCTCCCCAGGAAGTTAAGGGAGTGCCCAGATTTTCAAAACTGTATACGTTGACCAGGATGACAGGAGAGAACCCTAACCCTAACCCTCTGCCTGGTTTTTATGACATTTATTAACATAACTATTGGCCTCTCTCCCTTTTGGAAAAGAGCTGGCTATCATTTGAAGACTAGCATGTTTCCAACAGCCTCAAGGAAGTTCTGTATTGCCAGGAGCAATATTCTGCTTTTGCTGAGATAGAAGAATAAAACATGAACTTTTACATGTAAGATTCCCTTGTCCACACCTTGGCTTGTGCTTTGTTTCCTGAAGGCCCACAACTGGAGAAGCAGAAATGGAAAAACTAGCAGAGCATCTTAGAACTAACATCAGAAAGACAACAGATAGGAACATAAGCTTCTTACTACCTGCTGAAGAGACACTCAGAAGCAGGACTTAAAGTACCTCTTTTCATGAGGAACACCAAGGAAGAGTTCTTATGAGTTACCAAGAGAAGCAACATAGCTCTCTTCAGCACTTCCATACAGAAAATCAAGGAAATCTACAAGTTAATACAAATACATTGACTCATGAGGTGATGATAAATCGATCTTTGCCATTACAAACATGCTGAGAGCTCATGCTGAAAACTGCAGCATGCTAATACAACTAAAGGGAATTAGTTTAACGTCTGTGACTTTAGGAGGAAGGAAGATACAGCCATTTCTGAGTTTATACCACTTCCTGTAAGCTGCCTTAGCAGGACTGGAATTCCTAAGATGTTTGCCTGCTCTCTCTGATTATCATCCAGAATCCTGGCACATCATCTCAGTTCAGCCATACCTCCCTGGCTCATGAAATCATATGATACATTAATGAAGGCTGAGGTTACCACACTTTGACAACTGCCCCTGCAAGGCACTTAGGCAACACCATGAAACATGAATTCATGCAACTTTGTAGCACTGCTAGGCCACCTAGCTTTGATAATATGCATGACACCAACCATACCTGCTGGGTCAGCTGAAATAAATCTGGGGCTCTAATTCCCCTGCAAGCACAGACTTGCAAGAGTATTCCAAGGGAATTTCCTTCTATTTGCCCCCCCCCCTTACTGTTGCAAGAGAAATAAATCAGCTCTCAGATGCAAACTTCATCTTGGGCTGCCTTTCTACTCATTCAGACCATAAAGGAATCATAAACACCAAGACAGAACAAAGCTGCCTTGTACATTCTCAATTTCCAACATCTCTTGCTTTAACACCAGTCACACTAAAATCCACTGAATTCCAGTACCTCGCTTCAGTGCTGTAGCAGTTTTGTAAGACCTCGTAAAGGCAGACATTACCAAAATATAGATGGTCTTCTCAGGTTGACTGCATTGCAGCTGTACTTACTTTTTTTCCTAATTGTTCCTCTTTAGCACTCTGTAGCAAAACAATCAACCCCAAAGAATGAGTACTAGGGTAGCAAGGAACTCTGTGCAAGCTGCTTTTCCAAATGTTACCTGCTGGACTGCTTTTGTACACAATCCAGCAGGTTTAGCTCAGTTAGCAGCATAAGCCCACCAACATTCCAACAGTGAGGAGAAGCATGGTCTGTCAGTAACAGCCTAGGACAGCAAAACTGCTTTCTCAGTTGTCTTACAAATTTATTAGCATCAAGTGTATAGTTGTCTCTAAGTAGGCTTTTGCTCCTCCTTGTGTATAATGTGCTAAGAGCTCTGTCATAGCAGAAGAATACTTAGTTCTTAGGTGGCTTATGCTTGGAGATATGTGAGTTAAGGTACTGTGACTTTTAACAACACTATCTTCCAGCTGAGGCACACTTCAACAGAATACTTCGCATCATCTAGTGTAATTGGGATACAGGTAGAACACACAGAGGCTGTGAAAAAACATGGATATAACACTTTTGTAAGCTGTGCTGAATTCTGAATCAGAGAGAAGACTGCTAAAATATCAAATAGGCAGCTTGAATATGCACTTTGCATGCCATCTGTAATGCTTTCCAGTCCTCGAGGCTCCTTGCAAGAAAGGAGGAGTTAACTAGCAGGAAGGACCAGGGAAGAAGGGGAGATAAATATGGTGTGCAATCACATCCTCCATAGAACTGTGCTGTCAAAGGGTAATATGACTGCCTAAATTTTACCACATAAATTGAAGTCCATTCCTGCCAAAGGTGATCCTTTGCTCCCTGAACACTTGCAGCCCCATTGCATCCCACTGCACAGGCTGCATGGACCCACAGTACTGTTGCAGTGACAAAAAATCCTAATACAAACTACTGCTTTGACAGAAAGCAAGCTTGCAATCTCTGAAGTACCCACCAGATGATCACCTGTTTGAAAACTTTTAGAAAATTTATTCTTCTGTAACACAAACTTTATGTAGCAGCTGAGGCAGAAGGAGGGAAGGGCAGTAAGACCAGCCTAACATCACCTAGATGGACTGCAGAGACTACAGACCACAGGATTTCATCATTCCAGGATGAAAGAACAAAGGACAAGAAACTGTTAGCACATGCAACAGTGTTAAAAAAAAAAATCAAGTCCAGTTTTCATTCCTAACATACAAGGCACATTTGTGGTCAGGATGTTTACAGGAGTTTAAGTTGTAAGTTTCTATGACTTGACAATATTTTGCAAGATGGAAAGTGACTGACCCTGCCAGTCAACACCCATGACTGCATTGATGATGTCCACCAAAGTGCCAGCAGGGAGCAGTGGAAAGCAACAAGTTTAAAAAATTGAGGTAAAATCCATAATTGTTCTTTCTCTGCTTCCACTTCTTACTCCACTTTTGTTGTTCTTTGCAGTTGCCTGTTCTAAAGTTAAAGGCTGTAACGGTGGAACACTTTGAATCAAAGAGGATTACTCTAATGGAATTGCAAAAGGATCCTGTGTTTGTTTTCCTATTCTCCCTTTCCTGTAGCCAAAGAATCAAGAAGCCAACAAAAAACTAAGCTGTGTTCAGACTAAACAAAAGGGTACTAGGCAGTCCAAATTCATTAGGGGAAATGCATAATTCCTCTACACTTAAAACTTCAGTTATCTCCCTATTACAGTTTCTTCCTCTCCTCTGGCTAAGTTGTACATGAAACATTATTCTCAACTTTTCTGAACATTGTGGGATAAATAATTTAGAAAGTTAAAAAATAACCTCCCTTCACTCATCACTGACAGCTCAAAGAC